TAATTGTAAATCAAAATTTTTCAATGTATCAATTATCTGACAATATAAGAACAACAAATATGGCAAATGTACCATCAATTGCTGTCACAAAGGCTTCAACTAATTCATCAGTCTCAACAACAACAACATTAGAACGAAATACAAAATCTATACTAAAAAATCATGGGCATATTCGTTATCCATCTGTTGAATGTTCAAGCATAACAACAGTAACATTTATTAATAAACCTTCACCCATTATGTATCCAGTTGTATTTCGTTTGAGACGTGCATCATTAACATTATCAAAACATCCAAGTTCAAATAGTTTAGATGGACAACAAATCAAACAACGCTATGGTGCAAGTCAATTTTTATCACGTGCACGTCTTAAAACAATTAAATTAACATTTATTGTTGTTCTTGCTTATATACTTTGTTCAACACCATTTTATATTGGATCAATTATAATGGCTTTAAATGGAAAATTTTTATCACAAAAAACAATGAATTGGCTTATGACTATTTTTAGTCTGTTATTTAATTTAAATAGTTGTTCAAATCCTATCATATGTCTGACGTTAAGTAGTACTTTATTTCGGTAAGATATATAAATAGTTTCTTTTTTTGTTTCTAAATTTATTTTATATTTTATATTTATTTTAGACGTCAAAATGATCGTAGACAATCATTAGCACGAACACGAAAAAGATATATTAATAATGATAATATTAATCTAAATCATAATAAACATAGAGAAAATCATTCAAGACATTTTTTATTGTTGTAAGTCTGTTTTTTGTACTCTCTTTTGTTTTCTGTGATAAATTTTGTTCGTCATTATATCTAAGTATAAAAGCATTAAATGTATATATTGCTTATTTATTTAATAAATATATTCTTGAATAAATTTCAATAATTTCTTCTATAAAATAATATTTCAAAGCAATCAATTAACATCAATGAAATTGTAAAAGATCTTATTATCATACATCTATTATTGAGTGATCGGTATTCCCATGTCTGATGTTCCACCATGAATACAAATGCATATTGTAAATTATATTTTCTCGAGAGAAAACTATGCTTCTAGAGTTTTATTAGATTTCTTAATACTGTATAAAAGGGCGCATGTACGATCATACCAAAAAAATACTCTTCTCTTTTCAGAAAATATAAGTCATAATGTACTTTTTTATTTATGGTCAAGTACCAACTATCGGAGAAGGCGTAGGCGTTTGCTTCGTAATTATTTCTTGTATATGTTAGTGTATTCATTAAATTTATTTTTAGATGTTCTCTTTAACAAAAGTTGACCGAATGCATGACATTTATTAGAAAAGAAAACTCGAAGAACAAAGCGTTTGTTTTTTGTCTTAAGTGTTATCGGAAACTACTTCTAATGAAGGTGTCAATTTTTAGGAAAATAAAATATGCCTTTGTTAACAATTCAGTTGATAATAATCTGTTAAACGATTTCGGAGAACGTTAGTTGTTTCTTTATTAACAGAAAAAAAGAAAGATTTAGCTCCTATTTCCTTCTATTTGATTAATCGTCACGTTTGTTTGCGCATTTCCACTCTAACCAATTTCTTTTGTTCAAACGCAAACAAAAAAAATCCATTATTCTTCCTATGAACTCCTTGAACTATGTAACATTGAGAAACAAAAATTTTTGAATATTAATTGAATGTCATATCCTTATCAATTTACTTAATCGTTGTAATTTATTAATTCGACATTGATTCAATTCAATTATTAAACAAAAAAACCCTACAATTATTATTAATTTATGATAAATATACAAAAAAAAATTCAATTATATATAATTGAAAACAAACGTTTGCTCTCTAGAAACAATTTATTAAAATGATTAATACAAAGTAATCATCGTATTCATACACTTAATAAAAAGTTAAATATTATTGAATATATTCAATTCATCATGAAGAATAGTTTATGTCTGTTTATTATATGACATAAAATATTTTTTCTTGTTCGCATATTTCCAAGTTTATATTGGCTTAATCAAGATGACTATTGCTTACGTGATATTTATCCTAATGAAAGTACTCATCAAGAGAGTACTCATGGTAGAAAATGTTAATAGAACTAATGAGTACACGTCGGTAGTATTCGTGCTAAAATCTGAGTATGATAGCGCATTACTGGGCATGTAATAGTAATTGTTTGATGACTACCCATGCTCTAAGGGAATCGTACAGCTTCATAATCATCATTGATGTCCCAAGCGGGGAAAGTCATCCTTCAAATTGGACAATGTCATTTTTCTTCAGCGAAGTTCTAGCTTTTTAGTCGTTTTTTTTGGTCACCAATTCTAAAAAAACGCTCGACCCCACCAGAAATTCGGCCAATTTTAGCAAAAATTTTCCAATCAGCCTCTCAAATCATCGCCCTTCTCTCTCTTTCCTAATCGTGACGATTTCAGAACATTCTTGATAATCACTAATCTCAGATAATGAGCAATTATTTCTATTTTACAATTTTATATCTATGATGTACTTTTAAGATTTTTTGAACTTTATTCTTTTCTTTTACTTTTTTGTGACATCTAAGACTTTTGCATGAATGATGAGGATTTCTTAATCTCTGTCTCATAAAGTAAGCATATACTAAAAGACAGTCTAATATAAGGAAAGAAAAAATGCTAAATAAATTATTCTGTAAAACAGAGAAGTCTCATTATAAATAAACATGCAATATCGATTAACTAAACAAAAAAAATCGAATAGACATTTTTACATTTATAGCTATTGGCAGTGTTTTTGTCATTTATAAAAAAAACAATTATATGCCTACAAGATTATCCCAGTATCTTGATGATTTTAAATCGCAATCGACTTGTAATAAGATTTGTTAGTTCCCTTTTGCTTCATGGCATTTTACAGTTAATCTAAAACCTTGTTTCCTAACGTAGAGGTTTTTATCTCTATTAGAAAATAAAATTTTAGCAAATCTCTATTACTGTATGCAAACAACTATTTAATCTCATCTGACAAGTTAACACTTTATAAAATGAAAAATATGTTTTTTTCCCTGTTAAAGTCAACCTTCAACAAAATCATGTAAATGAGTCATTGACTAAGAATAGTAGATAAACTAAAATAGTTTCTTTCCATTTTATGCTATATTATGTCATTTTTATTTATTACATAGCTTCAATCTATGTTTGTATATACAAGGATATAAATATTTAGCGACAGAATGAACATAAGTACTACATTGACAACTCATGTCATTGCCTATGGAGAAATCTCTAGAGAAAAACTCGTCAAAATACACGAACAGTATTCATGCATATAAAATTATTCGAGTGCTTATGCAAGTGACTTGAGTACTCTTGCTAGCAAGTCGTATCCGCTTGATGAGTATTTCCACTAGGGATATGATATTTATCTCATAATACATATTTGCACTGTTGTCATATAAAGAAAGGTGTCAATGCTGAAGAAACTGAAAAAAAGAATAATTCATATTGGTATTGTATAGTGTATTGTCATCTTTCCAATTACAGTGTGAATAGATATAAATTGTGCATTCAATATTTATTGAATAGTTGATTAGAATAACTTTAACAGAAAGAAAAAAACTAATGATGATAAAAATAAAAACTTGAAGAAATATAGATCGGATATATATCTTTATGTTCATCCATTGATTATCAGCAATATTATTCCTATCAGATTAATACATCATAGAATAATATCAATCAAAATAGATGATAATAAATTTTATATTTATAATAAATCATATGATCGAAAATGAATAATTTTATTTTAAAATTCATAAATTTTAACCTTGAAAATTCTAGATTCTACATTTCAAATTAACCTATACGGAAGCCGTCCTGCTGAGAAAGCTTAGGAAAATGTTAGGAACTTCAAAGCAGAAATCCGGTGCCCGCCTATACCCGATGAAGACCGGAACAAGAAACTCCGACCGCCGGATTTCTGCTTACAAGTTTCTATCATCTTTTCTAATTTTTTGGTCGGAAACAGCATCTTACCGACGAGAGTATGCCGGAAAATCGCGGATAGGAACGCCGGAATCATTGAACTTGAATTGAATATATGTATTATTTTATGTGTAAGTTCTCTAATGCCTCATAAATCTTATTATATATAATTATTTTTTTTTTCTTTTTTGTAATACTTGAATTGATGTCAAAAACTAGACATCCGTCAACCGGAAACAATATGTAATTATCTATTCACGTCAACGTATCAATAAAAAAATATGTGTTATCGTAAATAATTTTTTTGCGCTTTTAGGTATTTTTTTCTATAATAACTCATAATTATCTAAAAATAAAAATAAATCTATACTTATACTATTGTTTATTCTTTTCAAAAAGAATAATTAGTGTATTAATCAAATAACGGAACTGGGTTGATTTTGATTTATTGATTTTCAGTTTTTTATACCTGTCATTAATGAATCTCAAATAAGTGTGTTTATCGTAGTTACTGTGTTATTAAATATAGTGATTAAAATATGTGAGACTAATTGCATTGGAAATTTAATGAAAGAATAGAAATGTATCATATTGAAACAATGTATTATAATTAATTCAACAAAAACTCATTTATGAACTATTATCACCTATTCATTGCATCAATTCATATAGAATTAATCAAATTTCAATCTTTGTTATGATTGTAAAAATTTATTCAATCAATAGCACGTCATTTAATGACGTCATTTTTCTAGGATGCAAAAGGAAAAATATCATTATGTTCAAATGCGTCAAGATTATTCTTCTTTCAAGGACCATATCGTATACCTATATACATTCAATATTAATATTGCTTACGTTTGTACCGAACATGAGTAATAAACGATCTATGACGTCATTCGAAATACGCCACTTTTACGTCAAATAAACAGAGCTATTTTCGTTATATGAGGAATCGCTCAATCATATAAATGATGCTGAAAAAACCAATGAAAAATTATTACAAATTATATTGTCTACATTGATTAGTGAATAAATACAAAAAATGAGTAAGTCATATCTATCCATGTAAAAAGATTTGGATTAAGAATCAAATTAAAAATTGATTATAATGGCACTAGTATAATTTGATTTTGATTTTTTAAAATCTTTTTAATTGATTATTATAGTCGTTGTAGGTAGTCGATTAAAATAGATAAAAAAAATGAAAACCACATAAAATTTATCTTTTAAAGCTGAAAAATCTCATTAAAATCAATTTATAATAGAGCCATTATAATCGATTTTTAATCTGATTCTTAATCCAAATTTTTTACATGAATAAATCTTTTTTCAATTGTTCATATTTTTGTTTTGTTTTCTGAATAGATTCCTTAGTCAATCGTCTTGAACGTAATGTTGGTATGGATTTAAATGGTGATGGATATATTGGTGGACAAGGTATAAACTTTAAAATACATTTTGTATTTTTCTATTATTGTTGCTTTGATGTTTTTTTTAAAGGCTTTCTTAGTCGATTAGAAAGAGCAACTCATATTGATTTTAATCGTGATAATATCATTGGTCGTCCTCCTGATGTTATGTATGGTTATCCTAGAATGTATGGCTACGGTGTTTCTCATACATATAACCCTTATGGTTACGGTTATGGACTATATAGATACTACTAACTGTTATAAAGAGCATTGTATACGAATTTTTTTTCTTGTCCTTCTTTAAATAAAGTAAGTGATACATCTTATTTTTTCGATGATTTTTCTCTATCATTGTTGTGTGATTTTCACATTTATATCATTGACACATCTTTGTGATTACTTAACTTATTCTAAAAAGTTTACCGGTTTAGAATAACAAATTGTTTACGAAAATGCACATATATCCTATTTACTTATAAAGCAGCGAAAGAAAAATTTATGGTTTTCTTGTTGAAGTTTATTTTTCTTGCTAAACAGTATCAAAGTTCGACGAACGAGAGAATGGGTGTTTTATTCATCCACACCCAAGAGAGCCTATAAATATTCATAGATGTTTTCATCTAGAATTCTTTAATTTGCGCTTGATACACAATGCCATCATGTAATGATGTTGTGAGATTGAAAGCTTAAAAGAAAGTGAGAAAATTGTAACAATTACAATTTCCACCGATATATAAAAACTTTTAGAACTGTTTCAAATTTTTAACCATGAAACACTACTATTGTACATTTGAATCATTGCATACGAATTGAAACGATTTTAATAATTGACTATAAAATGTCGCTATATGTACATTAATAATAATGATATAATAATGAAAGCTTGCTCTTTCATTTTCTTTTCTTATGTTCTACGTAGATTACCTGGAAGCTTCTCCGCGTGTGACTCATTACTTAAATTAATATTTGCTCCAGTAATAGGCCCCAAGGAGACCAGCAGAAGTCTAAAAGGTTTATCTTTACGCGCTCTTATTCCGAAGTTATAATGATTTTACTGAACTTTTCTTTTGTGTCTCCACCAAGGTATTTGTGAAACAATCGAATTAAAGATGTGTTGTTCTCGAGATATTGAATATCCGAAAACAATCATGTGTCACAAGGAAAGATAGACAAGGTCAAAATTTTCAATTTTTGATATCTCAGGAACAGCATATTCATTTTGGGTGAAATTTTCAGAACCTTCTAAGGTTGATGGGACCTACCTATGGGCAAAATATCAGCTGCATTGGTGAGTTAAATCCGAGAAATTTCCCTTGTTCGACTACCAATAAAAATTATCGATGAGCAGTATTTGCTTATATGATCTCTATAAAAAAAAATTCAAGTAGGCCTATATAATCGAGATCGAACAAAAATGTTCATATGGTTATTTTATGGCTTATCGTTTATAGAAGCAAATATTCATGAATAAATATGTTTTTAAACAAATCTCTTTTAAAGGTTGTAAAAAATCAAGTCTAATCATTTATCAACAGAAGATTATAAATCGATGTTATCGAAATCATGCTTAATCTCTCAAAATTATTCTTGTTTATCAACGAAAGAGTAACTAAAAAGAGATCTTTTATAAAAATTTTATTTGAAGATCTGAATCCAAACGTTAAAAGAAGAATTAAACCGTTTTTTATGTCATTTTAAAGTTATAGATAAATAACCATTTGTTTTTTATCATTAACAGTTCTATGAATTAATAACAAATGAAAAAGACCACGCAAAATTGAGACAGAAAAGAAAAAAGAAAAGATACCACATATTAATAACAAAAATTAAATAAATTGATTATGCGAAATGTTATGTTGTTTTAGGTGAATATTTAATATAAACATAAACATAAGTAAGTGGAATAAGGAGTGCAATAAGAATAATAACTGTAACAATATGCCAAAATTTACAGCCACAATCGGCGCCATCACAATTTAATTCACTGATAGGTTTTGTTGTTGATCGTATCATCATTTTCGTTATGGGTTGATTAGATATTAATGTTGTAGTTGGTGTTTCAGTTAATTGTTCAACTTTAGTACGCATTGATGCTAAATCTTTATCCATTGCATGTAAAAAAGCATGATGATTTTCTTGAGATGAATGTGTTAATGATAATGATGTATTTGTTGTTGATTGATCATTTAAATTAACAACTATTGATGGTGATGATTGTTCATGAAGTAAACCAAAACGACGTACAGGTACTCGACAATATGTAAGAGCATAAAAATCTTGATCATTTTGTAAATTATTTAAACGTTTTAATTGAGAAACCTGAGAAAAAAAATAAAGAATAATCTTTGTTATCAGCAAAGTGTCGAAAATACTTACGTTAGAGCAGTTCAAAAGTAGTGGTGGAGGTACTTTATTTTTTTACAGAAAGCTTTAAAAAAATTTCTTTTTTTATGAACAGATAGAGCGTCTTTCGCTCTAGTTTTCTATGCTATTTGATCACTATTCAACTGGTATCATAATAATAAAATTTCGATAAGATCTGTTTCGTTCACATGTTTGCTGGTAGCATGAACATGAATGCTTGTGAGTATTTTTTGAATAAAGTTTGATAGAAATAAGGTAGAGAACTGCAGTTTTCACTGTTGGAAAGAAGAGATGAAGATGCATCGAACCATATTTTACTGATTTTCCTAATATTATTTTTGAAGTTTTTTCATTCAATTCTCTAACCGTCAGCAAAATGCTGTTTTATGAAGAAAGAAAACAGCAAAAAAATCGATAAAAAATCGTAGCAGATGTCCGTCTGGAATACGTATTATCTCAAAATAGTTGAACTTAAACATCTGAGTCTTTCGCACTTTGTATATCTGCAATTAGCTGTTTGAATGAGAACCTTATTATTGAAAATTCCCTGTAAACAATTCACAGGATAGGTTTGTTCTTTAAAAGGTCAACTGAAAATCTTATAAAAACAAAAAAACAAGTTGGAAAAATCAGTAATACATGGTTCGATGCATCTTCATCTCTTCTTTCCAACAGTGAAAACCGCAGTTCTCTACCTTGTTTCTATCAAACTTTATTCAAAAACTACTCACGAGCATTCATGCTACCAGCGCATATGCGAAGAAAATAGATCTTATCGAAATTTTATTATAATGATACCAGTTGAATAGTGATCAAATAGCATAGAAAAATAGAGCGAAAGACGCTCTGTCTGTTCATAAAAAAAGGAAATTTTTTTAAAGCTTTCTGTAAAAAAATAAAGTACCTCCGCCACTACTTTTGGACTGCCCTAAGTACAAAATTAGAGTAGAAGTTTCTTTTATTTGTATATGTTTGCATAGAGTACGATGAGTTGGTTCAGAATATGTGAGTTTTCAATTTTTTCATTTCCTTTAAATTTCAACATTGTTGTGTTTCAAATTTAGCGTGAAAAACTGAATATGAAAAAAGCCATTTATGAGACTATTCAGATAAAACATAATTATAATTCAGATTTCACATGTAAGACAAGTGCAAATTTTGGAGAAGCACTTTCTAATGCTATCTAGTGTTCTCTACAAAGAGATATAAGTGACTTGCATATATCCTTGAAACTGCTAGATGTTGTATTTCAAAAGTATAGTTTGAGTTTTTCGAGATTTTATTCTGTTGCTGAGAGAACTCTTTTTTTACGACAAATATTTGATTTTTTTCGATTATGACAAGGGTAAACTCAGGAAAAGAAGGCAAATATAGATTAAGAAAAGATCGATTCCAGCATGAATTTCAATAAAAAAAAGTTTTCTCAACAATAGAATGTAATCTCGAAAAACTTCAACTATACTTTTGAAACACAATATCTAGTAGTTTTAGTGATATATCAAAGTCAGTTGTATTTTTTTTGTAGAAAACAACTAGATAGCATCAGAAAATGCTTCTCCAAAATTTAGACTCGTCTTTTTTGTGATATCTGAATTATGACCATTCTGTATGTGAACAGCCTCATTAATGAATTTTCTAGATCTTAGTTTTTCATGCTAAATCTGAAACAAAACAGTTATGAAATGTAAAGGAAATGAAAAAATCGAAAACATACATATTCTTGATAAGTTTGTCACAGTCTGTCTAATTATATATAAAGAGAAGAGAAGAAAACTTCTACTCTGATTTTGAATTTCCAACATTTTACAAAAAAAAAAGATAATGAAACATACTGGTACTCGATATCGAATAGCAAATGCTTGAATAGTTTCTTGTGGTCGTATTGGTTTTTCAACAATAACGATTGAACCACCACCATGTGCTGCTGATGTTGATTGCTGTTTTGTATTACGTGAACGGATAATATGTTGAGTATTTAATTTTGTTTTATCATCATCATCATCGTCTGAATCAATCGTTCCTAATTCAATACTATTATTATTATCTATTTCAGACGAAGATAAAAGTGGTTGCGATAAGGAATTGTTGTCTTGCGGAGACTGATTATTTTTTGAATGATTTTGTCGAGTTCGTTTAGTTTTTGTTTTAGAATTCGAATTTGAAGAAGAAAATAGAGATTCTTTTAGTATATTCATAAGATTGAATGATAATGGTAATGTAGAAAATATTATTATGCCTAGTTCAAAGAAACTTAATAGCATAATCTGTCAAAGGACAGTTAAAATCGATGGGTAGGTAAATAGAAAAATGAATGATACACATAATTTCAATTTTGAAAATTAATCATTACTGAATATCAATTGATTAAAGCCATTTATGAAATCGATATCTCACAGAAACCATCGTAAAAAACATAAGCAACGTCAGCCAAACGCAGATTGGTTTGAGAAAGTAACAATACATAAACGAAGGCCATAGAAGATCAGGAAGAGGGCGTTAGTTGATTCATCTTATCGTGGTGATAAATAAGTCATTACATAGAAAGGTTCTTTGAAAGACAATTCATTAGTGGCGGAGCCAGAAAAATTTTTTAGAGGGGGCAGAGCCCCCTCTAGCTACAGTTTTGAGGCTGAAAATAAGTATGCTCTTCCATCTTAATGCTAGGTCGTTTTCATTCTAGAGGGGGCTCAAAGGTTTCTAGAGGTGGCTGAGCCCCCTCTGGCCCACCCCTGGCTCCACCACTACAATTCATTATGTAAATGTTTTGAAACTAATGATAACTATACACCCACTGCCAAAGCTTTCGACAGAGTTGATCAAGTCTTTTAACATATAGCCTTAGAATCATTGTATTAATTTTTGTAATTATGATGTAGAACATTCTTTCTAAA